GGAAGATGGAATCTCAGGAAGAAAAGAATAATAACAGAAATGATAAGAGATTTTTCTTCTCTTAACTTCTCTAAAATATGTGACTTTTGAAAACAAAAATCATCACTGTCAGTGAAGTTTTCAATGTCTATAGATGTAATATACATATATCAGTCACAACTCAAAGTGGCTAAAGGGACTTATATGATGGTATAGTTCCTACATTCCACTTGAAGTGGTAAAATATTAGTCCTAGTTAGACTGTGAAAAAAATTTTTTATAGATATATCCTAGTGCAACCATTATTAAAAAAGAAACTATACAAAGAGATACAATACAAAACTCAATAGATAAATTAAAATGTAGATAATAGATAAATTAAAATATAGATAAGCACTTCAGATAAATTAAAATGAGATTCTAAAATATTATCAATTTATCTAAAATAAGGCAGCAAAAGGATGAAGGAAAACATAAGGTACAAACAAAAAACAATAAAATAGTAGGCCTAAATCTAAATATATATTTACATTAAATATAAATGGTCTAAACAGTTCACTTAAAAGATAAGAGATTGTCAAAATAGATTTTTTTTTTAAAAAAAATCAAGGCGGAACTATACGCTTTATAGTGAACTTTAAGAAATTCACTTTAAATATAATGATAAAGTTAAAAGTAAAAGAACGGAAAAAGATATACCATGCTAAAAATAATCAAATGACAACTGAAATAGCTATACCAATATTAAATAAAGTAGACTAAAAAGCAAGGAAAATTACCAGGATAAAAAGAGACATTTCATAAGGAAAAAAGGATCAATTCACCAATAATATATAACAATCATTAATGTATAAGCAACTGACAGGGTTTCAAAATACATAAAGCAAAAACTGATAGAACTAAAACTATGCAATATGTTGAAGACTTCAAAACTTTCTCAGTATTGCTTGAAGTAAAAAGTAAATTATCAAGGATATGAAAGATAAATAACCCATAAACCAACAGGAAGTAACTGACATTTACAGAAGAATCCAGCCAACAACAGCAGAATACACATTCTTTTCAACTGCATGCATGGAACATTCACCAAGATAGACTATATCCTGAGTCATAAAACAAACCATAACAAATTTAATAGAACTGAAATCATACAAAATATTTCTCTCACCATAACAAAATTAAACTAGAAATCAATATCAGGAAGGTATCCAGAAAATCCTCAAATACTTGGAAATTAAACAACAAACTTCTACATTATCCACAAGTCAAAGATGAAGTCTCAAAGGAAATTAGAAAATATTTTGATCTGTACAAAAATAGAAATACAGTATTTCAAAATTTGTGGGATGTAGATAAGCAGCGCTTAGTGGGAAATTTAAATCATTAAATATTTGTATTAAAAAAGCAGGGAGGTCTCAATGAACAATCTAAGCTTCCACCTTTAAGAAACTAAAAAGAAAAGCAAAATAAACCGAAAGCAAGCAGAAATAAAGAATAAAAAGCAGAAATAAAATTTCTTAAAAAATAGAGAAAAAGCAATGAAATCAAAAGCTGTTTCCTTGAAAAGATCAATAAAATTGCTAAATCTCTAGCTAGACTAACTAGAGAGAGAGAAGGCACAAATTACCAATATCAGGAATGAAAGAGAGGATATCACTACAGCCCACTGAGACATTGAAAGGATAAGGGAATACTATGAACAACTCTATACACATAAATTCAACAACTTACATGAAAGAATATAGACATATATAAAGACATATATATGAAAGATATATAAAAGGAACAATGCATCACAACCAAGAGCAACTTATCCTAGGAATGCAAGGCTAGATCAACACTCAAATATCCATGTAGTCCATCATATGAACAGACTAAAGAAGAAAAACTACATTATCACATTAATCAAATGATGCAAAAAAAATAATCTGATAAAATCCAACATCTTCATGATAAAACTCTCAACAAACTAGAAATAGGGGAAATTCCTTAACCTGATCAAGGGCACCTTCAAAAAACCTACAGCTATCATCATATTTAATGGTGAAAGACTAAGTGCTTTCCCCCTAAGATCAAGAATAAGGCAATGACGTCTTCTCTCACCATTCTTATTCAACAATGAACTGGAAGTCCTGGCCAGTGCAATAAGAAACAGAAATGAAAGGAATACAGATTGGAAAGGAAGAAATTAGACTGTCCCTATTTGCAGATAACATGATTTTCTACGTAGAAAACCCTAATGATTCTACAAAACAGCTCCTAGAACTAATTCGTGAGTTTAGCAAGGTTGCAACATACAGGATTATCATACAAAAATCAATTGTATTTCTAAATATTAACAAAATGTGTAAATTGTATTTCTAAATATTAACAACGAAATGTGTACATATGTATTGATACATACATAAATTATGTGTCTATCTGTTAATCACATTCACAATAGTTCCCAAATAATACATACATAGGTTTAAATCTAACAAAACATGTGAAACACTTACATGCTGAAAACCACAAAATGCTGATTAAAAAAATATCAAATACCTAAATAAATAAAAAGACATACTGTGTTCACGGATTAGACAACTCCATATATAGTTAGGATGCTACCTATGTAGTCAAATCTCCCCAATCTGATTTAAGATTTAACACAATTCATTCAAAATGTTAGCAGAATTTTTTCCAAATATAGACAAGCTGATTCTAACATTTTTATGGAAAGTTAAAGGATCTTAAAGCAAAACAATTCTGAAAAAGAATAAAGTGGGAAGACTTACTCTATCTCATTTTAAGACTTTGCTGTAAAGCAACAGTAATCAACACAGTAGGGCTTCGGCAAAAGGACAGACACATATACCCATGGAACAAAACAAAGAATCTAGAAATAGACCTACAAAAATAGGGTCAATTGATTTTTGACAAAAATGCAAAGGCAATTCAGTGGAGACGGCACAAAGTCTTTTCAACAAATGGTACTGGAACAAGTGGACACCTGTATAAATCACGTTTTTTATTTTCTGTATTTTATGATGTTTTGACATCTTAAAAAGCTTGCTGGCCAGAGAGAGACTGCTCCTCCAAGGGCTAGCCAATTCTTAGCCAGGGAACACGTCTTTCATATGCAACTCCAACCACCTCATTATCTAACTCTCACACAGCAAGCTAATATTTTCCCCTGCCAGGTACCAAGCAACCAGAGGCCATCCTGATATCCCAAAGCCTCCTGGAATTATTCACACTAGCCCGTCCTATATTGCTTATCCTGCCCTACCCTGCCTTTCCCTCGGAAACCCCAATAAAGGCTCTGTATCAGCTTTCCCCTCCTTCCTGCTTCTGCTTGACCAAACCTAGTATTTCTCCTGTGGCCCTGCCTGGCAGAGGGTGTCCCCTTCTCTCAGGAAATATAAGTAATTCATCTCTCCATGACATTGTCCTTTCCATGTCAGCATTCAGTCACCTCCATAAACTAAAATCCCACGGGTATAATTTTAATACAACATCCATATGCAAAAAGTAAACCTCAACCTATACATCACACCTTATACAAAAGTTAACTCAAAATGGATCATATATCAATGTCAAACTATAAAACTTTCAGTAGAAAATATAGGAGAAAAGTTTTTGTGACCTTGGGTTAGGTGAAGCACTCTTAGATGTAACACCAAAAGCGTGATCCATAAAAGAAGAAATTGATAAGTTAGACTCCATCAAATTAAAATCTTCTGCTCCCTGAAAGACATTGCTAAAAGACTAAAGAAAAGCTTCAGACTGGAAGACCAAGTATCTAAGCTCAACAGTAAGAAAACAAACACAATTTAAAAAATAGGTAAACTACATATTGCAAACAAGCCCTTGAAAAGACGCTCAATATCATTAGTTACTTTGGAAACACAAATTAAAACCACTACCACTACACACCTATTAGAACAGCTAACATATAAAAACAACTACTACTAAGTATTGTCAAGGGTACTAAACAACAGGAACTCTCATACATTGCTGGTTAGAATGAAAAATGTTACGACCACTCTGGAAAACAGTTTGGCAACTTATAAAGTTAAACAGACATTTATCATACCACCCAGTAATCTCACTCCTAGGTATTTACTCTAGAAATATGAAAACTTATGTTCACACAAAAACCTATAAACAAATATTCATAGTAGCTCTATTCATAATCACCCAAAACTGCAAACAACATAAATGTCCAACTGGTGAATGGATAAACACTGTGGTACATTCATATAAACACTGTGGTACATTCATATATACTTGGTAAATCTCAAAGGCATTATGCTGAGTAAAAGAAGCCAGTCTCCAAAGGTTACGTACTATATGATTCCATTTATGTGACACTCTGGAAAAGACCAAACCACAAAGATGGAGAACAGATCCACACTCGCCAGGGGTTAGGGGTGGATGGAGAGTTTGACTACAAAGGGGCAGCAAGAGGAAAGAGTTCTGGAGTGACAGAGCTGTTCTGAATTCCGAGTGTGGTGGTACTGGTACACTAATTTACACGTGTTAAAACTCGTAAAATATACACCCCCCAAAAAACGATTTTTGTATGTAAATATTTGACAAAAACCATTTTAAAGAGGCAAACAAAAACACTTGAGGGCAGGATGCTTTGTCTTCAAATAAATCATTGGGTCCAATTTTAATATTTAGTTTACTCGAATCTTGAAGAAGAGATCTTATAGTGCTGTCAGAAGTTTCAGGGGTCAAATCCATTTCGTCAACCAAGCCAAGAAAGACAGTGGCTTACAGGCAATTTCACACTCTCAGACTTAATTTTAATGGAACAAATCAACTCATGGTGGGGGAGGGAGGACAAGATCAAAAATGTAACTCAACCAAACACTGCTGTTAAAAACTGAGTCAATTTTCAAACTCTAAATGTTCCATTAATCTCAGAAATTAAATCCTATAAGAATCATGACTCATTAAGCATCCCTTCCCCTCCTGCAGATATAGATTCTTCTCTTTTCTCTCGCCTTCAAAAAACTAAAGAAATTACTTACAGCTTTAAGGGTAAGATCACACTGGAAAACAAGTTTCCGGAGTTGTGTTAAAATTTCTCTTTTGGTATTTTCTAGATCATTTCGTCTTTCTTCAACATTTGTCACACAAACTTTATAGAGTTCATTCGCTTCTTCTACCTTCAGGAATATCACAGAAAAAAATACCACTGATCACTAGAATCTGTATTTTAAAATAAATACTTATTGTAGTAAAGCTCCATTTAAATAACTGAAAAGATTTCATACACAAAAATTCTGATAACCATCAGCAATTCAAGTGCACTTGACTTTAATGGACAGTCACGTACAACTTACAATTAGCATACTGTCTATAAATAAATGTACACTTCTATTGAACAGCTTTTTCCATTTATATTTACCGTTTTCCATATAACCTTCTTACAGAATTTGTTTATCAAATTATATTTCATAAATAATACAAAGCTTCAGCCTAGCCTTTCTATCAGGTACTGGAATTAGTACACATATACGCACAGTTGCCTAAAAGTTGAAGTTCCTGAACAATCAAGTAAAAAATATTAAACTATGGCCTTCTCTGAGATACTTCTTTCACAAACAACCCAAAGATTCAAAAAATAAGCAAAAGTCTCTTCACATAGTGGTTCTCAAAGTGTGGATCCCCACAAAGGGGCCAGCATGGTGGTGTAAAGTTTGCACGCTCCGCTTCAGCGGCCTAGGGTTCATGGTTTTGGATCCCGGGTGCAGATCTATACACTGCTCATCAAGCCATGCTGTGGCGGCATCCCACATACAAAATGGAGGAAGACTGGCATGGATGTTAGCTCAGGGACAATTTTCCTCAAGCAAAAAGAGGAAGACTGGCAACAGATGTTAACTCAGGGCCAATCTTCCTCACCAAAAAAAAAAAAGAAGAAAGAAAAAAAAAGTGTGGATCCCTACCAGCAGCAGCAGGAGCTTCACCTGGGAACTTGTTAGAAATGCAAGTTGTCTGGGGCCAACCCTAGAGCTACTGAATCAGAAACTCTGGGGGTGGGGCCCAGCCAATCGTTTTAACAAGCCTTTCACGAGATCCTGATGCATGCTAAAGGTTGAGAACCAAAGCCTGAGCAGATTATTGCTAATTCAACTTGCAAATAACAAAAAAAGATCATTACTTTTTGAAGAGCCTCCTCCTCCAGCCTTCGTTTTTTTTCTAGCTGCTTGTTGAGATTTTTTACTAATCCACCACTTGAGCACAGATGCTCCTCTTCTGCTCGAAACATGGAAGATTTTGCTCTTTCATACTCATCTTGACGTTGCATGCATAACAGTTTTGCCTTTTTAAGAGCAGTCTCTGTTTCAAGCTACACAGAAGATAAAAAGTATTAAATATAGAATAAGAAAGAAACCCTAACGTACAAATTTCTTGAGCATATTCAGCAAGATAATTAAGGCAGCATTTTAGAAAAACTATAGAGTTAAGGTATGCATCTTCCCAGGTAGATGCTTAGATACTGCACACGCTTTCAGATGTTCACAAAGAGGTAGATGAAACTCCATTGTAATACTAACCATTTTATTTTGTTCCTGTTTCCAAAGTTCTTTTATTTCTTTCCTTTGTTTTTCCATTTCATTTTTCCTCCCAAGTAGAGGCTGTCAAGAGTATTTTAAAAAAAGAAAGAAAGAAAAAAAGCTGTTTTCTAAAAGTATGCTGTTGTTAAAAAAAATGTGTATTGTACATATAAATTTTTACCTGCACAAATTTGTTGGCTTGGAGAGCTCCAATTGTTTGTTGTAAAAGGTGACTGCTCTCTATATCATTAAGAAGAGCGTTGGTAAAGAGAGACTGCAGTGGCATAAACTCCTAGAATTTAAAATTAAAAAGTAAATTTTCCAATAGAAATGGCACTAGAGTTCTAGACCCCTCCTCCAGTACTCTTCCTCAAAAAGACAAACTTAAAGTTTAGACTTTGAGGTTTTTTCCCCCAGAAAAATAACTAGTCATAAATATAACTGTATGTGAAAAATACTGAGGAAAATTAATTATAATTAATTATAAAACTAGTTAGCAAAATTAGTAGCTAGGAAGATAATCACCATTCATCTAAAATTGTGAATTTCTTAGTTTTTTCATAATAGGTATCCATGTAAATTTAAAACGATTTTATTTTGTCAATAAAAAGTTTAGCATTTCAGTTCTTTCCTATATTAACTATGGAATTTTCTGATTTTCCAAGGCACTATCAGGAGCTCATCTGAGTGATCTCTAGGTACAGAACCCTGGTAGTTCACTGCACACTTACTTGCAGTCCAATGTTAGTTCTAGTTGCCTCTGCCAACTTGACAATATTTCTAGTGGACTCCAATTCTGAAAAGGTCAAAGAAGGCATCAGAAGGTAAAATTAACTTATTTTTCCCCTCCATACTCTAAAATTATTGGTAATTCCCCAATTAAAACATGATCACAAATACCAGTCTGCATGATGATATGACACTGTGATTCTTAATCGGAAGTACTCATCAAAATCAACTTGGAAACTTTGAAGATACACTTGCTTAGACCACACCTCTCTGGGGGATGGGACCTAGGCCTGTGCCCTGGCCATTTATAAGGCTATTCAGGTGATTCTGATGGGCATTTCCTATTAAAAGCAAATAAGGTAGTAGGAAGAGCCAAGGCTTTGGGTAAATTCTATACTCTTCCAGTTACTGCTATGTGATCTTAGGCAAGTCTGCTACCTGACCTTAGGCAAATCATCTATCTTATTTGCCTCAGCTGTAAAACAGGGACGATAACTCTCATCTTGCCTACTTTCCAGGGTTTTGGTAAGGATGAAACGAGATAATAGATTTTGAAAGCATTTTGTCAACCATAAAACACTGGAAAAATATTAGCTATTAAGATGTTCCTTATATGTTTCCACTGCCTTCTGCTCATACATCTATTGTTGCTTTTATCTCCTTTTACCATATTATCTGATTAAATTTCTTTTTACCCACTAGAGAATGACGTCCTTAAAGGCAAAGACAGTATACTATTTGTCTTTGTGTTCCAGATCTAGTGGTTGGCCCACAGTAATGTTCAATAAGTACATTTATTGTAAGAAGAGTCTTTCCTACTTCAAGAAGAGAAAATGGACAATGATTTTATTCACTACAATGAAACAGCCACTAATTTGGAATCACATTACTCATAGGCTGTAGAAAATGAAGTGCAAACAATATTTCTTACACTCAAAATTAATCAGATACCCCAAAGGGCAACTTACCCAAGTTAAGCTTTTTTTCAACCCATGAAACTATGTTCTTGGTATATTTTGACCATGTTTTAGCATATGACAAAGCCAATTCTACAGAGTCAGTGTTCTTTAACAGCACGGTGTCTAGTCCTACAGGAGATAAATTTCCTGAAAATAAAAATATCAAGGTATGTATACATTAAATACGATCACATAATTCTAAACAAAGAAGCAGTCAAATCCTAAAATTTTCTTCAATGAAAACTGGTTAAAAAAAAATACAAGTGACAAATTTAGAATTAAAGGATTACAGTTTAGACTTAAAATGGTTTCAAATTATAATGTATTTTTTATCTTAATGTGTATTTCTATTATTCATCAAGTTACAAGCCCTATACAATTCTTGATCAGTTTCTATCATCACATTATCTATCTACTCTAACAGATTTTTTCCCTAAGTTTATTTGTAAAACTTTACATACCATTTTATGTTAAAAATGAGTATTTTAGGTTACTAAGCAAGAAGAGATTAACTTTATTGAAAGTCTAACTGCAAAAAGTTTGACAAAAGTTGTAAGTACCTCAAGCATTACCTTTTTCATTGGATGAGTCCACCGATTCCACAGAAACATTTTCAAAAGACTTACAACATGGGAGAAAACAAATTTAAGATTAGAGCAGGAGATAACAGATCTTTGCTTCAGAAATTTTTCACTCTAATTTGTTACTCTGACATAATTCCTTCTAAAGAATTTCAAGTATTTAGAACTCAAAGGGCCTGAGAAGTCTGTTTAAATGCCAGAACATTTTATAAGAATTATACAGCTTTTTACAACAGCAGTTCTCAAGGTCCAAGAATGAATAACCTCATTGTTTACTAACAGCATTAAGTTAACATTAATGAATCCATTCAAAACTTTAAATTCTGCAGATCTCAAAAATATTAGTCAGGAAATTATAGAAGCAATCTAAATAGATTGCTTTCTAAATAGAAGACAAAGCCCTGTCTCTTCCAGCCATCTTTTACCACTTATGTGACAAGTATTTCTCTGAAAGCCTATTCGACAGCTTAGTGTAGAACTTTCTATGATGATGGAAATGTTCTGTATCTGCACTATCCAGTAAAGTAGCTACTAGCTACATGCAGCTATTTGAGCATTTGCAAAGTGGCTAATGTAAATGAGAAGTAAATTTTTAATTTTAGTGATTTTAATTCATTTAAATTTAAAGAACTACATGTAGCAAGTGGGTACTTTATTGGACAGTGCAGGAAAACATTATCTACCAAGATTGAGAGATATTAAACAAATTTGATCTATTTAGTTGGGCAATACAGAGTACACAGGAATTCAGTGAAAAATGGATCAGAGACCTGGGGTTTGAAGTCCAGCTCTATCACTTAGCAGCTGTATGACATTGGGCTCACTTATTATTTAAGCTCACTTACCTTTGGTTTGCCCTTCTGTAAAATGGGGATAAGAACGTTACCTTCATAAGGTTATTTTAAGGATTAAGATGATGTAGGCTTACCACAGTGCATAGTACAAAATAAGCACTATTAAATAAAGGGGAACTATTATTTCAAAAATATTTTTCAAAACTCTTTGTCAAACAAAGTAACTTTATTATAGCATCATGGACTTGTTAATTTCAATCTCTAGGGTAAATTAAAAACTGCAAAAGGAAAACAAAGTGCAAAAGAGAAAAAGAAAGGAAAAAGTAATTTCCTACTAAGAATTAGTATACTATGTGTGCACAGTAGAGGCACAGGAACAGGAAATATGATTCACACCTAAAACTTAAATTGTTCAGAGCTTTGTCACACAGATATAATGTTTTATTATATCTTCTGAATTAGAAGTAAGTTTGAAAAGATAAAATTGAGGAAAAATCATGAATAGAAAAAGATTTAAAGATCTTAAAATTCTTCATCATTCTTATATGGTTTATACACTATCCTCCTTGATTCATCAACGGATGACGTCAGAAATAGTCACAATTTTTTTCTCAATATTTTAGTACATATAACGAAGGCCTTAAGTAGTGATTCATATTTTGTCTCATTTTAAGAAAGAGCTGAAATTTTTATATTATTTTGATATAATATAAGTACTTGGCACATTTTCAAATATTTGTTGAAATCCTTTTTAGATTTGATCATCCTTAAGAGGAAATGATTAACATATGTCCCTAATGCAGTTTCTTTAAGTATCTTGCATTTGGCAAAAAAATTTTAGTCAAATGAAAATATTACTATTACTATAAATCTTCAAAGCAATATTCTACATACATTCCTCATGTTCTATTATTTCATAGCAATTTTTCTTCCAATTGGGAATCAGAACCCAATCCTCTGAGATATTTATAGGGATGCTCTTAGGGAGAATTAAGACCTACAGGCCTGTTAATAAGTGTTTCACGGCAACAAACAAACTGTAGGATGTGTGAAAAGATTAATACCCTGTTTACTTCTTGTATCATTTTTCTAAGTTTCCACCACTCTTTAAGATCTGCCACAATGTTAGAAAGGAAAAATGGTTAAGAATCACTTACTAAAATTTTGGACCATATGACACAGAGATTCATTATATAAGATACTATAAAATTATCAGATATATTCTTTTAAAATGATAGGTTCACTTAAAAAGTGCAATTAAATTTTTGCTCTAGAAACTGACTATAAATTATCATATTTAAAATGAACTGATCTGTTTTTCTTGCTAAACTCAAAAACTATCAGAGTAATGTTGAGATTAAGATTAGGAAATTACTGAAATATTAAGTTAAAAATTTTAAAGTCTTTGCTTTCACACAAACTTGGCCTACCTTACTTTCCCGAGAAACAGGCAGTCGCAGTAATGAATCATTGCCTACATCTCCCATAAGGAAGTTTGTCAGGCTATCCAGGGAGTTAAAAAAAAAGAGAAATAAAAAGACAAGTCATTACACTGCTCTGTCACAGGCTTTACATTGAATAAGTCATCTAGAACAAATTTTTTTTAGTAAGAACCTTAGAAATAAACTCCTAGCAATCTATTCACATAAACCACAGTCACTTGCAAATGGATGTTGCTTCTAAACAGTTATAAAGACACCTTCAAATACAGTAATAAAATAATACAGAATACAGCTTTTCCAAAGTTGTGATAATATTTTATACTGGTTAATACTTTACTTTCCATATATCTACTGAATTATATGACATACTCTCACTGAGACACCTAGGCCCAAATTTCTTTAAATGACAGTCGTCTACTTACATATTCCCAAAGGTAACAGCCAAGGTTTCAATGGAAGAAAACACTTCTTTGAAGAGATCGTTTTTGTTTTCTTCATTAACTTCTGTGAAGTTCACAGCTATAGGGAAAGGTTGGTACAATAAATGAGGTAGAAAATATTTTAAACTAGATTTACACAAAGTCATTTAATCCCTTAAAAATCCACCATTACTTCTAGAAGCATTAGAAGATTCAGAAACTGAAAAGCCTAATACACAAAATGGATATGATGTTCAAATTCTTCATGAAAGAAATCATACAAAAGAATCAGCTTGCATAAAAGTAGCTGGCATTCCAAACTGACTACTCCATGCATTACATAATTTGACACATCTAAAGAATGACGCAGTGTGAAACCAACTGGTGTTGGAGTCACCGAGTCCATGTTACACCGGACCTCTCTCATTAAGAATGCTCTGTGCTATTTTCTCTTGCTTATTGTCTTAGGGCAGTTTTTAAAACAGCTCAACACACTGTGGCTCTCAAGTCAATATGAGGTACACTTTTCACTGTGAATTACCAATAATTGAAGTCATATATACATCTGACATACAATAACACCTATATACAAAGCATATCACATAAAAAACACCCAGTGCTTAAGAAAATTTAAATTCCTATTTATTTATAGCCTTATTTCTTACAGGCTCTTGGGCTCTGAGGTCCATGTTAATTGACATACAGCTGTCTTTTGTTTACCATAGGGATATTCTAACGTTTTGCATTTTCTTAAACCAAATTGTGAGACATAACTGAAAAAGTTTTCTTATTATAACTTCTTCTGCATGCATCTTTGTTAAAAGCCCAGATACAATTTACCAAGACAAAATCTGAAGGTGGAATTGGCAATTTTTTTAAAGTAACCCATTCTACTCAGGATGAGTTTAAGGAGCAACTGGCTCCCTGTATCCTACCCTCCCTAGGATCCTTGCCAATAAAGGGAAGGTAGAGAAATCCAGTCGAGAGAAAGCCATCCTTTGCTTTAAAACAGAGTTGTTCTTAAGCTTAGCTGCACATCAGAATTATCTAGGGAGTTTGAAAAGCAAAGTCTGGGTCCCACCACCAAAGCTTCAGATTTCACAGGTCTGGTGAAGCACAGGTACTTGTTCAAAAGCTCTCCCAGGTGATTCTAATGTGTAACTGGGGTTGAAAATGCTTGCTGGAAAGCAAGGATTCCTAAGCAAGGATGAACTAAACTTCAAGCCTATAAACCTCATGAAATTATAACCAAAATTTTACACGTATAAGCCTTTGTAGATATGAGGGGCTAACGTCTCTATCTTTCATCATATTCTTCTTAGTATCCCTGATACAAACAAAAATAAAAACTTAAGAACCACCGTAAATAATTTTAAAAATATTTTTGGACTTCTGCTCTGGCCACAACAGAAAAACAGGCTTACACTTCTGCCTGAAACAACTAAAAGAAACCCATACAAAAATATATGAAACAACAGTTTTCAAGACATTGGCTATCAGGCAACAAAGGACAAGAATCCTGACAGACAAGAAACAAACATGGTAAGCTCTACCATTACCCCAGCTTACCACCTAACAGCACACAAAGCAGATTTCTGAGCAAAGGAAACTAGCAGGGATAAGGTCATTTTATCATGATGACGGAGTCAGTTTATCAAGAGGACATAACAATTCTATACATTTATGTACCTGATAAACAACTTCAAAATGCATGAAGCAAATAGAACTGCAATGAGGGATAGACAAATTCACAGTTATAGACAGAGATTTCAATGACCCTCTCTCGATAACTGACAGAACACGAAGATGGAAAATCGGTAAGGATATGGAAGACTTCAACAGTACTGTCAGCTACCTTTACCAGATGGACATTTAGAGAACCCGCCACTCGATAACAGCAAAACACACAGTCTTTTCAAGTGCACACTGAATATTTACCAAGATAGCCCATATTATGGGTCATAAAACCAGTCTCAATGGGTTTAAAAGGATTTAAATCAGGGAAAATACCTTCTGTGACTAAATGGAATTAAATTAGAAATGACAGAAAGATCTCTGGAAAATCCCCAAATATTAGGAAACTAAACATTAACACACAATAACCCGTGGGTCAAAGAAGAAAAAAGAGAAATTAGAAAGTATATTGAACAGAATGAAAATGAAAACGCAACACATCAAAATTGGTGAAAGGGGGGTGCAGGGAGGCACAGAAGGGAGGGATCACAAAGGGGCATGCATTATCTGGATTGTGATGGTTTCACAAGAGTATGCATGTCAAAAACAATCAAGTTGTACTCTTTAAATATGTGCGGTTTATTGTATGTCAATTATACCTCAATAAAGCTATTTTAAAAATTTCATTGGAAAGTAGACTTTACCAAGTAATTTATAATGTAATACCAACCAAAATATAAAGCCTACTCATATTCCCTAACTTGAACCTGTTAGACTTGAAAGAAAAAAATACTTTATAACAGTATCCAAAGTTCTATAATTATTCTTTCTTTCCTATGAATATACTTTTTCATAGCACTAAACATGACTGGGAGATTAAAAAAATAATAACTGTGAGTAGTGAAAAGACAACTATTTGAACCATCTTCCTTCGTTATCTTCATCCCTACTTGAATGAGGTGACAGTCATCTAACGAAAAGTCCTATTACTGCCCTTGCCTCAACTTCAAAAACAGCCCTATATTTCTAATATCCTTTCTCTTTTTTGCTCCTGCTCAGTGTTTCAAAGAAAAGTCTTTGGCTCCTTTCCAATAATAAATCTTTCCACTCTCTCCAGCATTCTGCAAAACCCTATGCCACCATTACTCCTTCCTCATAGCTGCATTCAATTGACATTTTTTTCTTATACTACTAACATACTCAAATCTTTTGTATGTGAAAAGGAAAGCTACCACTCAATCTAATTTAACATTTCTTTACTGCCAAACCTGTATAAATAGGTCTGAAATTCACCAGGATTTGGCTTTTCATCCAGTTTAATCGTCATCAGGGGTTGGAAAACTTTTTCTGTAAAGGGCCAGATAGTAAATACTTAAGACTTAGGCCATACGGTCTGTTGCAACTATTCAACTCTGCCTAAAGGAGCCATACAAAAACGACTAAGATATGATGATACGTAAACAAATAAGAGTGGCTGTGTTCCAACAAAACTTTATTAACAAAAACAGGCAGCAGGCCAGATTTGGTTCACTGGTAGTTATTTTGACGACCCCTGGTTAAGCAATGGGTTCTGAAGCCAGTCTGCCTAGGTTAAATCCTGTCTCTTACTAGGTTAAGTAACTTAACTGCTCTGTGCCTCAGTTTCCTCATTTATAAAATGGAGATAACAATATGTATTTTGAGAACTGCTGTGAAGCCTGCATGAAGTTAGAACAGAGCCTGTTACATAGAAAATGCTTAATAAATTTAATTATTATTTTCATTCAATTCCAGTGAAGAACACTGTCAACAATAACCTCCTATTAGTCCAACTTGGAGGTCTTTTTTCTTCTAAGTTTTCATCCTACTTGACCATTCTGCAACTCTACCACTTAATAATATGCAATCTTAGACAAACTTCTCTATGTCCCAGGTTTCTTAGCTGAAAAACGGGAGCTGATGTAACAACAGTATTGACCTCAAAAATTTGCTGTGAGGATTAATGGGATAAGCCATGTAAAGAGCTTAACAGCGTCTGGCATACAATAAGTACATCCTCAATAATGTCAGCTATTATTACTACAAATATTAATCGCTTCCTTCCATCTTGAAGTATTCTGCTCTCTTAGAAGCATTGTGTTACAGTAACTCAAGAGGTAAGGCTTCAGAGTTGCAGACCTAAGTTCAAATCTGGCCTCTACCATTCCATTTCCTGTTACTCTGGACACATTACCTAACTTCAATTTCTTCATATGTAAAATGGATTATTACTGAAAGGAAGGACTGAGAAAACAAATGTAAAGCACATAGGGTACAGTGCTTGGTATTTGGTAAACATGAGTGCCCTCATGTTCTATATCTATCTGACAATTTGTACTTCATACAGTTGTTCCCACTCAGCCTGCAGTTCTCATCTTGGCTTTCTTCTCTACACTTTATCCCCAGAGAACCTCATCCACTTTCATACCTTTAAGAGAATGAATCCTTAAACTACCTGACTAATTTTAGCCTCTGAGCTCCAGACCCACATTTCCCATAGTCTGTTTGATATACTCCTTCCCCTACTTCCCAGTCTTTACTCACCAGCATTGCAATCTCAACATGTACTAAACTGAACTCTACCTTCCCTTCTACTCTACCCCTCAAGCCTACTCTTTTCCATACATTCCTTAGCTCATTAGCTTCACTTTCAAAATGCCTCTAAAATATTTTTTTCTTCCTTTCCATTCCCATTATCACTGACTTAGTTCAAAAGGCCACATTTTACCTCTAGTCTGGACTATTTAACAACCTACTAATTGGTGTCTCTGTCTCTACTCTCCCCCACCATTAGCTGTTCTTCAAAATCTCATCAAAATTTTGCTCAAGGTTTAGATAATTGTCTCCTTTGGGTTCCCTATTAAGTCACAACAACAAGCATTAACACACATTTAATATCTCTTTAAGAAATCACATGAATAGCTTTCATAATACAACCTATTAGAATAGTAACTTTCAAACTTTTTTGACCACAACCTTCAATAAGAAATACATATTACACCATGACCAAGTATACCATACACACATAATAGTTATCAGTTATATAACACCTATAAAGCTTCTGAAACATCCTTAAATCTTATACAATGAGTGCTGGATTCTGATTTTTCTTTTCTATTCTCTCTCATATTTTAAAAATGCTGGTACAATCTACTAACTTGATGCCACAAATCAGGGCCCATGGTTTGAAAACCACTGAATTAAAAGATACAATGCAAGAAAATCTTTACCATTTGCATGGAGGAAAAAATGCCTAGAGGAAAACGATTTAAAAAGCTACAAGATTTACAAAGTGAAACTTTAAGTTGCTTCTGAGAAACACAAAAGACATCTTGAAGAAATGAAATGCATACTATATTCTCAGATAGAAATGCTAAGTACATAAATTCTCTTTAATTTAATTTATAAATTTAATTATAAATATAACTCAAAATACCAATAGATATATTTTAGAACTAGACAAGCCATTTCAAAAATCTTGATGGAAAAATAAAATCCTGAACAAGAAGAGTAATGGAAAGAGGTGCTACCCCTAACAGATACTAAAACATATGATAAAACTACAATAAAGATAGTGTGGTATTGGCACACGACTAAACAAATCAATGGGGCAGATTAAGGTCCAGAAATAGATATAAATATATGTGACAATTTAGTGTATTTATGATAAAGATGGCATCTCAAATTTAGTGTATTTATGATAAAGACAGCATATCAAAAAAGATGAATTATTTGATAAATTAGCTAGACATGTAGATACTGTACAATGTATCAAAGACTTAAATTTAACAAATAACACCATGAAAACATTAGAAGAAAAAACACCAGAGAACGCTATTTTAATCTTGGAGCAGGGAAGTCCTTCCTAATACCTAAAACTCAAAAACCCTACAAAAGATTGACAAAATTAAATTCAAAAATAAAATAAAACAAAATACCATAAGCAAATCAAAACACAGAAAACTAAAGAAAATTTTGATATAAGTTGTTATATCAAAGATTAAGGGCTAATTTCACTTATTCAGGGTTTCTACAACTCAATACTAACAAAAAAGACCAACAAACAAGAAAAAAATGAATAAGGGGTCAATTCACATAAAAGGATATACAAATGACTCTAAAACATATGAAAAGATATTCAACTGCACTCAAAATGAGGGAAATGCAAATCAAATCTACACTGAGATACCAATTTTTACTATCAGACTGGATAACAAAGCTTGGTAACAACTCTGCTGGCAAAGGTGCAGGAAATGAGCCTTTTCAGCACTGCTGTCAGAAGGGCCAAACACCCCTAGAGCACATTTGGCAATATCAAAAATATAAATGCACATGCCCTCTGATCCAGTAACTACCATCTAGGAATTTATATGGCAATTCATTGAAGCACTGTCTGTAACAGAAAAAAACTGGAAACAATCCAAACATCTATTAGTAGTGAGGAAATTATAGTACATCAATATAATGAATTATCATGCAGCTTTGAAAAAAACAAAACAAATAACAACAAAAGAATAAGGAAACTCTTTACCTACAGATAACTGAGAACAATGAGCAAGGGGCAGAATGCTACCATTTGTGTATAGAGGGAAGGAAAAGAGAACATATTGTATTTGCTTGTATGTGCGTAATACTATATCTCTGGAAAGATACACAAAAACCAGTTAATAGTTGTTGCTTATCTAGGGAAAGGAATGGGTGGCTAAGGTTCTGAGGTAGAAAAACCACTTCACCATTCAATCCTTTTTTATACTATTTGAATTATAAACCATGTGAATGAACTGCCTATTAAAAAATATTAAATTTTCGAAAGAGAAAGAAAACACGAGGCTTCTACAATTTTGGATGCACAATTAAAGCTTATTTTTCTTTTTTGTTTGCCCATTTTTAAACATACGGCAAAATACAGATCATGAAAAACCTAAATAAATGGTCCTTTTAATTTATATTACAAATAGGATTGACCAAAATAATTCAAAATAAATACTAAGTACATAATAACTTGCTGAATGCTGAAATGTCTTTATCTACTTCAAAAATAAGCTGTATCTCTCTTACCATATTGCAAATATTTTGTCAGACTGAGCTTCCTGCTTGGAAACAGAAGGAGACACAGGAAATACAGATCACTACTAGAATGAATGGAGAAAAGCTAAGGATTTTTCTTTTAAAGTTATTAAAAGGTAAATTCCACATTTAAGATAAAAAATAAGAGGAGTCAAAGATTCCGATTTTATTCAATGCACTTATTATGCATAGGAAGTAGATAGATCTCATGGATTCAAACCTGTTGTAGCACAAACAAGATTATACTTCCCTGATTCTAAAGTTATTCTGTATATGCTCTTTTTTTTCAACAGTTTGGTATATTTGCAAAATGCACTTGACAGTTAAGACCTCCAAAACAAGCCAGGTCACGATTGTTTTTTAAATGTAATCAGGGGGTTAAGACAAATGATCTCCACACTCCTAACGGCTTTCTGATCCTAATATACAATAGTTTTTCTTTATGTTTTCCTCTTTAAAATAGAAATAAAAATGTACCTTTATAGGTTTTTTGAAAATATTAAAGTAGACAGCATACGCAAAACATTTAGATTGCCACAGAATAGACATTCAAAAGTGGTTTCTACCTCCTCCTCGCCGTTCCAGGGTTTGAAAACTAAATCATCATTCAATGAAAAAATTAAGTAAGCTCTGATTTGACCTCAATTTTTCAGGTCACTGAATATTTTTCATTTAGGATATCAATGATATTTTTAGATGGCCTTAACAATAAGGAAGGGGGTTATTTAAAAACATAAACTTACACCAAAGAAAACACAATTTTTAAAGTTTGCTGGTCTCATGGAGTCCTACTGAAACAGAATAAGTTTCCCAACAACAAAGCAATCTTTTAAATTTCATCTGCACAAAAGTAAAATTGTAACAATAATCCCAAGGGTAAAGACAGTCATAGCGGGAAATAATATTCAAAAGATTGCTTTACCTCAAAGAAAAAAAGATCTTCAAGGCAGCTGAGAAGCCTCTTCCTTCAAGTCTGTTTCTGGAATGTGGACACCAACTACACAGAGGCACACTCCTTCCCCAGGACATCCTGACTGCACACAATAGCCACTGACAACAATCGAGTGAACTGTGGTCGCTATTTCCAACATGGAAATTTTACTATCTATAGACAAAAATTTCCCTATCTAAGTTAAGTTAAATGGCACTTATAAATAATCTACTTAAAAACAAATTTGGTTACTAAGCACATTTTTGAAAGTCACAACAGAAGCTATCCATTTTTCCCATTTATAGCCAACTACATTTTTTTTTAGTGCTTGAAATACAGAAAAAAGAGAACCACACAAACACGATAAATCTATGTGAAAAAGTAGGGAAGGAGGTCCTTAAGTATATGGACTATATTTTACTGACAAGGTTTTTTTTTTCCTCTTCCTGCCTCATCCCTGACACTTGCCCTTTGCCCTCTCTAGATATAGGTGTGTTCGCCAATTGCATCATGTTCTTCACATCCACAGTTCTTTTACAAGCGCTCTATATAGCAACCCCCAACCCCCCTCTAGCCCAGTTAATGTCTTCTCGACCTCTGAGACTTAGGACAGGTACTCCCTCTCCCGAAAGAAGCCTTTCCTTTCCTTACTCAATCCATGGTGAGTCACTTTTTATAGTTACATTATTTGAATTCATATTACCTATCAGTGACATTAACACTGACAATCATTTCTCAGAACCTTGCACGTTTTAAACTCCATGAAATCTTTCTCCAGATCATCTCCCTACTTCTTAAGTGTTTCTCAGGTTCCTCTGTCTTCTCTCTGACCCTCTGATCTCATACTCAGCAATCCTCTATTTACTCTGCACACTGAGTTGGTGTGGTCCTCTTCCATCACCACCTATACATCAATTCTCAAGTCCACATCTTCAACTCCAAACTTCAACTTAATCCCTAACATTGACCTGTCGTATATTTCATCAAATTAACACCCATCCCCTCTCTTCTATGACAACCACATTCCACTTCTACCAGACCCCAGCCTCTGTCTTAGATCAGACTGTGAACCCTCATCTAGCCCATTATTTCTAACAATTTCCTAACTGAACTCCCTGCCTCCAGTCTCATCCTTCTCAAATACTCCCTTCACCCTCTATCCTTCTTATATCTTGCAGCCCAGAATAACAGATTCTAACACTTTTGGGTGGCAAGTCATTTCATCAGAGGATAATGCCCCAATTTTTGACTGTTTTAGTACACGTTATACACACACACATACACACACACATACACACACACATATACACATACACACACATACATACAATAAATTTATTTTATAATTTTAGTTTCATTTTTCCACATTTTAAAATAAGGTCCCAATTAAGTCTTCTTTTTCTCCATTTGGTTCCCTCCTTTACATGGAGTCACTACAAATGACCATTTTCCAGCACCAATTGTCCTCACCTAACAAAGACTTTTTGTACACTAATAACCTACTTTAAAAGAGCATGTGCTCTTCCCAAAAACTCAAGAATTTTAAATGTCAGTTGTTTATTTCAGTTAGGATTTTTAGAGTGTTTCCTGCCAAATAAAGTTTTAATTTTTAAAAGGAAGAGTTTTAGGTGTGACTTAGTGGGAATATTTAAATATTGAAGTACACATAACTCCTATTGATACACATTATGCCAATGCCATAAGAAGAGATGGCTCCATAGTCACGATGGACCAAAATGTATCACTTGGATCTTTTTTGCCCACACCAACCCACTTTTAATGTATGTTTCTTACCTTTCACTTTTGCAGTAAGGATTTCTGCAGCATTTTGAAGATCAACAGAATTGAGGTTCTGATGTTTATTCATTACAGACTTTAAAACACGGAGAAGTTCATCCAGACGTATATGAATGACTTCTTTAAAACAGTCTTAAAAAGGAAATAAAAATTTTTTAATTTGTTTCCAAAACCAAGTTTCAGGAATCTAAACTATGCAAGACCATTTTGAAGCACATTTCAAGTAGAAGCAGCGGCTCCCGAATTTTTGCCTATTGTACGTTCACTTTTATTTCCCCCAGTGCAATCACACACAATTTATACGGCCTTCAAAAAATCCTTAATCATTTTAATTCAGTAAGGATTTCAAAGGCTCTCACAGTTATGGTCAATTTAGTACCACTGTTTTCAGTTTTCTCATTCTAAATATGCTCTCCAGAAAACTTATAATGTTTTTCCTGTCTTATAGTTTTTACTATAATATACTTTATAATACATATGGTAACAAGAGTTAAAGCCCTACAATGTCTGATATATTAACTAATATTACAGAACACTTACATGTTAAGTTTCCATGTTAGAATTGATTCTTTGCATTAATGATCAGATATTGGAAATCAGCAACCCACAGGCATAAACATAAAGACTACCATTTGACCTGCCCATTTTTTAAATTGTGATATAATTTACATATGATAAAATGCACAGATCTTTATATGGTTCAATGAATTTTTGTGCTTTTTAGAAAAATTGAATTAGTTGCCAATAATGAAAAATTGGATCATTGGCTCATTACAAAACTTCCAGATTTCTGCCTACTCTTGAAAAATCAAAACCTGGTTACACCAGGCCCACACTGCCTTGGCCACAAACAGCTGGCAGAGAGGAGTGCTGCTCTCTCAGGTGTGAGTTCCTTCCAGTCCCCACCTGTCTACCCCTAGCCTGCTCCACTCTTTTAACACCAACCTTGGTCAGAGGGATGCAGACAGTGTTTTATAACCCCTGGAAATAAGGTGACCGTATAATTTATCATCCAAACCAAAACACTCTAACAAACGAAAAAGGGGGTGCTACTCATAATCATGCCAGCACAACTGGCATATTCCTGGAACACCACGCAGGAAAATCAGAAAGTATAATCACCCTAATCTTCAAAACCCCTGAAGTAATCCTCAAAAGTCTGAAATGTCAACCACCTTAAACACAGTACTCTGATGTAATTTTCCTTTCCGTAATCTGACACAGTGTTTAACATAGTTAACACTTATTAGGTGCTTCCTATGTGCTATTTGTTAGTGCTGTCTAGTCGAGTCTGACTCCTAATGACCCTGTATACAGCACAGTGGAACCCTGCTTGGTCTTTTTGTACCATCTCATCTTTTGATGCTGTAGCAGACAATGCTCCACTGCTAGTCACAGGGTTTTCATGGCCAATTTGGTCAGAAGTAGGTAGCCAGGTCCTTCTTCCTATGTGCTAGGCACTGTTAACAGCACTTAAAGGATATTATCTCATTTAACTTTATCTACCTATTAGGTAGATAATTTTAAAATCTCCATTGTACAGATGAGAAAATTGAGGCACACCTAAGCTTACCAAGTTATTAAACTATGGGACCAAAATTTGAAACCAGGGAGTATAATTCTAGAAGCCATGCTCTTAATGCTATACTGCCTCCCTACTGAAATAGCTTAAAAAAACAAACAAAAAACATTTTTAAAATAGTGTCATTTTATAATTATACAATTAATTTTTTTCAGAAGAGTTAGATAATCATGAGAAACAAAAACTGTCTTTAGGATAAAAAACAAAAACAAAAAATTCTACCATCATCCATCAAATATTCCATTCATTAACATTATCAACAGAGAGAAATATGTAGAGTCAGAGGAGCAGGCAAGGTGGGGAGCTGGATATAGGAGGGCAAAGAGTATTCCAGGAAGAGGAAGGAAGAACAACTCAAGTAGTGATGGAAGCAGAGAGAACAGAGTGCCTTCAGGAGAATATCCGAAGTTCATCCAACAAATTTTAATGACCGAAAAAGAAATACAGGGGAATAGGTGCTAGTCTATGTAGCCTTGGAAAAGAGTGGAGTTTATAAGACTAAAGGCAAAGGAAATGCACATAAGTACTGTACTCTAGTTGATAAAGTGCTTTCAATGACGCTTCAGGTTAACAATTCTGATACTGCTATACACGTACACTGGAATTGAACAAGTGGGTAATCGGTTCTGATACTGCTATACACGTACACTGGAATTGAACAAGTGGGTAATCGGACAGTGGGAGCCAGGTATCTCACTGTCGGACTGGAAAACTACAGATAAGTAGGGGGAGGAAGCTATCATGATCTATGTGGTAACAGATCAGAGTTGGATACTTCAGTAAGAATTTACGTTTAGCTTAATATAGATATAGGAAGCCTCTATAAACAGATACTGAAGTTTTTCCAAATCAAAATACTGTTATATGTTTTTCAATTTTCTTAGTTTTAATTTCTAACACAGTAAATAGTAATCCCGCATAAACAAAAACTCTCTGGGATCCTCAATAATTTTCAACAGTGTAAGGGGTCATGAGAATCCCTGCTACAGTTTTTCTTAAAAATCACTGCAAAACATTCCAGTAACTGTCAACGTAATGTCTTATCAACTTGAAATTCTCTTTTTTCCTACAAGGAAGTCTTTATAAATACTGAAAAATAGTAACTGAGTTTTTTAGTAAGAAATTTCATAAGTACCTCAAATTATCCTATAAATAATTCCAATGTCCTATGATTGAACACACTTCTGAAGCCTATAAATCAACAGAAATGAACATGACAGCTAAATAAAGAAAATGTTAACTACAAAGATTCATAAACTTTCTATATATTTAGTGGACGAGTCAACTACTAGGACCTCAGTATACCCTGATAATACTTCAGCTAGGACTTTATAAATTAGCAAGCCCTTAATTATATTTTATAAGTGGTAAAAAAAAAAAAAGTTCCATTTTTACCAAATGTTTTTTTCCCTTATAAAATAGTAAAGCTACCTCAAATTATTTTAATGAACCAGAAATCCTCTTAAATGGAAAATACAACTTTTTAAAAAAGTTTCAAGGAGTTGAAGCAGCTCTTTCACCAACACTAAATACCATCCCGCCCACTCCCCACCCCCACAGAAGCAGCAATGAGCAAAGCAAATGAGGCAGTAACTGTTCTTCCCCAACACAGAAGAAAGCTAAGTGACTGACTGGTGTGGCAGAAAACAATAGCTATAGATCAAGAAACCTGGGTTCCAATGCTCCATCTGCCACTTCTTTGAAATGACCATATACAAAACTTTTAGTTTCTCTGATCTCAGATTCATCCTCAGTAAAATGGAATTAATAAGAACACCTGTTCTAGCTACCTTATAAGGTTGTTGTGAATATCAAATAAATTAACAGAAACAAAACTGCTTTATAGTCTTAACATATATAAATAGCTATTATTACTATTAAATCTGTAAGCCATTCAAACTAAATACCTTTGAAAACAGATCTGTCTTACATAGAATTACATTCAATAACAAATATACTTACAGCAAGATCTCACAACATTTTGGCTAATGAAAAAGAGACATTAAGGTTAAGTTTTAATTTCATTTTATACGTAAAATCTAAGTTAGTAAATTACTTGGAAATAAAATCATAACTAAATATATTTTATAAAAATATTTGTATACCTATAAAGTTAAATCATAGCATTTAATTTAGTCACATAACTAAATGCAAGATATTTTTTAAATTTTATAGCGGCCACAGCATAAATATAATAAAATTTATTTATACTATGAAGGTATTATATATGTGAATATTATAATTCCAACCAAAGTCTTAACACTAGTTATCTAGAACGGTAAAACTCCTAATCCCAAGCAATGTTTGCTTGTTTATCTACCATCCCTGTACTCTGGTAATCTGAATTTTAATTTATTGTTTGACTCATTTGTGCTATTTATTTTCTGCTTCATTCTCTTATCAAGGGAAAACAGATTAGCCAGCTCCACTTTTTGTTTCTCATGCATTAACACAATACCACAGTGTTTATATTGCAAACATTTCATGGAAATGCTTAAATAAATAAATGACAAAACCATGGTATTTTCCTCGATTTAAAAAAACTGACAATAATTTTTAAAATCAGTCTTGTTAATTCAGCTTAACCTTTCTGGGAAAGCAATGAAAACAACAAGGAGGAAAAAACGTCTCAGAACTTATCACTAGGAAACTCCCTTTTTTTGCTGTAATGACTTGTGAGTTTACAGGATAAAAGCAAAGCCTGAATAGCAGCTTTCTTTATCCCGCCACTTGGGGATTGTAAAAATAACAACAGCTGACATTTTAAAACACTTATTCTAAGAGATTCACATATATGAACTCATTCAATCTTCGCAACAACCCAATGATGTAGGTACCCTTATCTCCTTTTAACAGATGTAAAAACTGAGACACAGAGAAGATAAGTAACTTACCCAAGACTATATACAATTAGCAAGTGGCAGAATGAGGATTCCACCTCAGGTGTCTGGCTCTAGAACTTGTTCTCTTAATCGTTATGATATATCAACATGGTTAAAGAAGTTATAGCTTAATGGCAGGTACTCTGCAATCTGATTTAACAGGCTTTAACTTCCAATTGAATATGCCCGTTACTATTATAAACAGTGTTAAATTATGTAAACCATTCTAGGCAAGTGCAGAAGAGGAAAGCAATCTCCTAAGAGCTGGCACATGTGTAATAAATGAGCTACCTATATTTCACAATTCATTCCTTAAAGATTCATTTCGTATCTTCTAGGCACTAAGCCATAATCCATTAACATTCACATTAGCTTCTCTTAAGTGACATCCATTAGAAATCACTTCTAGAGAAGTTTACTTCTAAAGGAACACAACAGGAAGATATATCTGAGACTAGCAACTTGTTTCTAATATTTCACAAAATTTCTGGCACACTGTATAGGCTGAAAGTTAAGTAATAGTTGTCAGTGGTAAAACTAACACTCAATGAAATTTCTCTGAAATAAATTTACACATTCTCCTGTATATTCACCCCGGAAAAAAAACTGAGTTAATCCACAAGACATGATTGCAATTAAGACTTTGAAAATTTATGCAGAACTTCCCT